TACCCATCAACCACGGGCGGCCCATTCTACCACTCAATTTGGGGGCTGCTCGACTTCTGCCTTCAACGAAGTATCTCACCGAGTTAGGTCCAGTGGCGACGATAGCTTGGGGCGATGGGCTTGGATATGTCTTCAGGGCCAAACACGAGGCGTTGGCCAGTGCGACTTGGTGGTGATCTCTGCCTACCGTCCAAACCCACCTAACGACGGGCATCAAACAGTGTGGTTCCAACATAAGGCCCACTTCAGCCGCACCAACCGCGATGCAGATCCCAGGGAGGCTTTCATCAAGGACCTCTCGACGGCTATCAACAAATGGCGCGACGACGGCTGTTCTATCATCTTGGGCATCGATGCCAACAACGACTTGTCCTCCTACTCCCCGAAGTCTTTCCGTTTTCGGATGAGCAAAGTGGGACTGATCGAGGCGATCCAGTCTAAGCACCCAGGGTCCCATCAGGCCACTTACCAGCAAAACCTCCGTGGGTATCCGATTGACTGTATCTTTGCGACGCCCGACGTGCCCATCCTGGCCGCCAGGTACTACCCTTTTGACGAACACGTTGCCTCCTATCATCGTGGCCTGTGGATCGACTTTGACTTGAACAGTCTCCTCGGCGGACACCAACCTACGAAATCCACCCATGTTCCACGCCAGCTGGTGATGCACAACAAACGGGTGGTTCAACGATATGTCCAACTGGCAGAGCAGGGTTATATGCGGTACAATATTCCGGGTCGTCTCTCTACCCTAGGATTCGATGTTGCCCGACAGCAGGGCGTCATCACCAAATCCCAGGCGGTCAGATTCGATTGGATACACGCTGATGCCTACACAGTTCGACGGTTGGCGGAGCAGAACTGCAGGAAGTTGTCGATGGGCGGGGCAGAATGGTCTCCTAAAGGCCAATCCATTCGGGATCGGATCACCTTGTGGCGCCTTCTCCTCAAGGACCGACGTCAGTGCCGGGTGAGCTCTAGGAAGGTTCGCCGCCTGCTGCTCAAGACGAACGAGCCCGTGGCCTGGAAGTTGACCACAGCCGAACTTGAGTCCCATCTCACCCAAGACCTTGGTCAATATAGAGACGCCAAGAGGGGCCTCACTTCGAAATGGCGGAAGGCTCATGTCACTACTCGTACCCAGAGCATTGCTAAAGTCCGCCACAAGACGGCAAGCCAACAAGAACGATATCACCGCTTAAGGTCCATGAAGCAATGCGAGGAGACTCGTCGGAGGCGCAAGGCTCGTTCCTCCGGTTTGTCTGGCGGTCTACGGGCCATTCAAGTCGAACTGGAGGACAGCTCTGGCAATTGTCGGTTACGGACCATTACTGACCAGACGTTGGTCCAAGATGGATGCATGCAAGAAAATAGGGCCAGGTACCAACAAACCCAGACCCCACATCCAACTCCTCCCATGTCTGAGCCTCTCTACACTATGTTCACTGGACCCGACGCCGACAACAACCAACAACTTCTTCTGGAGGGCAAACTCCCCATCCCTGGTGGCCTGGCTTACCCTACCCAAGCCTTCCTTTGCCACTGTCGACTGCACGACAGTTATCGGCCTCGTCCTTTCCCCTTGACGGTTGAAGAGCACGTGGACTTTTGGAGTCGCACCCCTGAGAACAAGGGTTCTGAGCCCCACGGCCTCCACAATGGCCACTTCAAGGCAGGCGCCCTTTCGGAACTGTTGGCTTCTTGTGATACGGCGTTTCGGGACCTTACACTCCGTTCAGGCCATGTTCCAGAACTCTGGAAGAACCTGATGAACTTTGCGATTGAGAAGAAGCCTGGCGACTTCCGCCCACAAGGGATGCGGACCATCCAGCTGTTCAACTCGGAGGCTCAAGCCAACTACAAGAAGGCGGGTCGGGCTGCAATGAAGAATGCTGAGGAGGATGACATCATCCCTAAAGGACAGTGTGGGTCACGAAAGCAGCACCAGTCCATTGATCTCGCCCTTTCCAAACAATTGATCTGGGACTCGCTCATCCTGGAACGACGGTCTTCCGGCTGGATCTCGAACGACACAAAGTCTTGCTTCGATCGCATCGTTCACTGGGTAGCGAAGACGGCCTTGCGGAGATTCGGTCTGCCGGTCACTGTCACCAACCTAATGTTCGATATCTTGGCAAAGGCTAAACACAGGGTCCGAACTGGCTTTGGCGACTCGGATCGGACCTTTGGGCCCACTGGCGATGTTCCCTTCCAAGGCTGCGGTCAGGGCAACGGCGCAGGTCCGTGCATCTGGGTTGCAATCAGTGCCATCCTCATTGATGCCATGGAGGCCGAGGGATTTGGGTACAAGAGCCGAATTGCCCTCACTAACAAGGAGTTCTTCGCTTCGTGCTTCTGCTTTGTTGATGACACCGACGTCATGGAGTCCAACGACAACGTGGAGACGACTGGCGAAGACCTCCTCCCTTCGGTACAATCGGCTTTGGACCTTTGGTCGGGTGGCATACAGTCCCACCAACTCGAAACGGGCACCTCCTTTCCCCTTCTTCAACAAGAACCCACCAACACAGGGATCCTTGCCTCCGAAACATGGCTCAAACGGGTTTGGATCAAGCTCGACTCATTGGGCACCAGAGTCGAGATCTCCTCCCCTCCCTTGTCCCTACACTGTGCCAACGACCGTCTCTTGATGGACATCTTCATCGATGCCTTGGTCGACCAAGAGGACTTGCTGTGGCTCAACTGGTGCCGCCAATACCTCCAAGTCACCACCCTCTCGGAACTTGCCACCGCCGACGGGTGTTCCCTGACGGCAGCTTCTCTTGCCGGCCAACCCTCCGGACACTTTGTGACCAGCTACAATTGGCCCCAAACCCGACGCCCTGGCCCCTCTCATTGGGACCTATGGCGACGCGTCTTCTCTCAAGCCGTTCTCCGCCCCTAAAGCCGCCGTCGCCGATTGTTGCAGCCCCTCAGACCGTGGTCTGATTCGCTGGACCGATGGACGATATCCATAGGCGGTACGAGCCCAACTTTCAGTGTTTTCCATCATGATTCGACCATCGCAATTGTTGAACTTTGGGGGATGAGGAAGGTCAAATGAAAAGGAGATTTGGGATGGTTCCAGGGGCTGGAGTATGGGTTCTTTGAACCAAAATGAGGAGCTTCCCATATTTGGAGATACGATGAATAGTCATCGATTTGTGAGCGGTGACTCCGATAGTCGCATTTGCATTGTTGGGATCAGGGGCTCTTCGCATAGATTTGATGTCTTCACGAACTTGAGAAGTGGTCCTGTTGGCGAAGGAGTCAACAGAGTCAAGACCTTCAACATCGGTCATGTGTTGTGTGAGGACGGTTCGAATAAGAAGATTGACTTTGCACCAGTTACGAAATTGAATAACAGCAGCCATTGTGATGCGATGATGCGTGGACGATTTTTGTTGTTTTTGATGTGTTGTTTGGTTTCAGGTCGAAAAAGTGTCGGACTTGAAGTCAGAAATCACTGGAGAGAATTGCCAGAAGGCGAACGTTGGTGATATCTGGCAACTTCAAATAATTTAGCCCTAAATGTCGAAGCATCTCATATTGAGAGCTGTATATAAACGTGGCACGGATGGTTGCACGCATGGCACGTCTGCCGTTTAGCCTTCACTAGCGAACAATTTAGTTAACGCTGCAACGTGATTAGCCTTCGGTGTGCATCCGAACGCCGAAATTGTGGCATGAAAAAATCACAAGATCGATACGACAATGGTGATCCTAACCATGGCTGAATGAGGCGATTTCCTCAAACAGATATTATTCGAAAGCCTTCCCAGGCTCCTCTATCCATTGTGGATTGCTTGGGTCTGATAAACCGTTAAATTGAGTAGCGAGGTACGAGGGATTTGGTACGAAAACGAGTACGATGACAAACATGGGGATTTTACAAGATGTGTGCGAATCTCTAGGTTAAACTATCTAACGTACGAATGACGGACACTCTCTGGTCCAATTAACGGGCCGACTGTTTCTTGCGTTTGCCGCGCATGGAGAAACCGTCTGAGGGGAAGAGTTTGCTTTCGAAAGGTAAATTGATTGCATTTGACAAACTCAATGTCAAAATGGATCCCAAGGATGAAATGTATTCTTTCGAAGAAGAAGTTCTTCTTCCTCCTCCATCTGAAGCAGAATGCAATCGTACCTTCAGATGCATGTTTGCTTGTTGTCGAGATGGTGATCATGGACATGGCGCTATCAAAAATGATGAGATGCTTGAATCATTTCTGAATCATCCTCCATTGGAAGTTATGCCAAATCCAATCACAATGGCAAACATTCAACAACATCAGCTCCAAGATGTTGCCCTCATTCAAAAATCGCAAAACGCAGCAACTTGGGCTCAATATCCCATCATGCAAATTGACAATCGGAATGTGATCTGCTATCGTGCAGATTTGAATAAACCTAACAAATGGAGAATTCACTTGCCTGAAACTTTGATTGCTCCAGTGATTGTGTGGTATCATTTGGTACTTGGACATCAAGGTACTACCTCTTTGTACAATACAATCGTCCGACAATTCTATGCTCCTGCTTTGAAAAGAAAAGTTTAATCCCTCAGATGTGAAGTTTGCCAAGTGAATAAAAATGTGAACATTCAATACGGACATCTGCCTCAAAAACACGCAGATTTGGTCCCGTGGTTTTCTGTGGCTGTGGATTTGATTGGACCTTGGAAAATCAAGGCCAACGGTATAGACATTGAATTCAATGCGCTCACTTGTATTGATCCCGTGACAAATCTCACTGAACTTTCACGCATTGAGAACAAAACTTCAGCCCATGTCACAAATGTCTTCAAGAATCTTTGGCTTTCTTGATATCCAAAACCCTACAAGTGCATTCACGATCAAGGCGGCGAATTCATTGGTCACGATTTTCAGTTGAAACTACAGCAGTGGGGAATCCACAATGCATCGGCGACGAGCAAGAATCCAACTGCCAATACTATCTGTGAACGTATGCATCAGAATGTTGGCAACATTCTACAAACAAGATTCAACAACACAAACATGGCTCCAAACATTCAGACAGCTAATCAAGCCGTCGATGATGCTCTCGCAGCATGCAATCATGCCATGAGATGTGCTGTTTCTCAGTCTTTGAAAAACAACACTCCAAGTGAAGTCGTGTTTGCTCGTGACATGTTGCTCAACATTCCTGTCATTGTTGATCTTTTGAGTATACAGGCAAAATGACAATTGTATATATAACTGAATCATTAATTGGTATTTATGCTACTTCTAGAGTATCCAACTGCCGGTGTAATACGGCTGTAGAGGCCAGGAACTAGGTTGCTTTTGGTCAACAAAGTTTGAACCACGTGGAGG